ATTCCTCTTTACCAGCTGTCGATTGGCTTTACTGGAAGATTCATGCTGACGCTGTTTCCGAGGCAATCTCTTCGATTCCGGTGAACACGTGCTACGCTTTCGTCCGTCATATGACGGACATCATCAGAGCGAGGTAACATCATCACAACCAGGCTTGCGAGTCAAGAAAACTCACCGGCAAATCCCTAAAAAGTGGTATATATATTCTACATCTGGCCTATTTGATCGAGTATAAGGTGATTTGGTTAGTTAAGGTCATATGTTAACTTCTATGCATGTGAGTGTATCTGTATTTGTATGTGCATGTTACTGTTCGCTTATGCACGAAACCCGAAGTGATGGCTCTAGGTAATTAGGACAGCAAAAAGGAACGTCTATTTTCGCCATCAAGGTTTGATGACTCCTATCTCCCCCTTTCTACATTTAAGTTATAACCATTACTCTGATTGCGCAAGGTCGGACACGTCTGGTTTTGTTGATGAGCCTATTTTTGGTTTTTGGTCTCAATGCGAGAGAGAAACAGTGAGCTAAAAAGACAGAGAATTGACTAGCATTAGAACCAAAATAAGAAAAGACTAGTTGCGTCACCTTTTTGCAGGCGGCTCAGCTCCCTCTCTATCCTTAGATCTATTAATTAAGCACAAATAGTTTTTCCTTATCTTCTTAGAGGTATTCCTTACATTCAAGGTATTTCCTATTCGGTTTATTTCTATGGCTTCTCTAATTTTACTTTTAGCCGCAAACATACCATAACCATTACTTCGGGTTTTCTGAATAAGTGAACACAGACATACACATACAAATAAGAGACAGACATACACAAATACATAGAAAAGTTGACATATGACCTTAACTAACCAAATCACCTTATACTCGATCAAATAGGCCAGATGTAGAGTATATATACCAGTTTTTTAGGGTTTTGCTGGCGAGTTTTCTTGACTCGTAAGCTTGAATTTTGTTGTGACGATGTTACCTCGCTCTGATGATGTCCGTCCTATGACGGACGAAAGCTCAGCACGTGTTCACCGGAATCGAAGGAGATTGCCTCGGAAACAGCGTCGTCATGAATCTTCCAGTAAAGCCAATCGACAGCTGGTCAAGAGGAATTCGCCATCGTCTTCTGGTGGAACC